GACTCTGAGAAAAAAAACTCTTTCCCACAGAGGGGGGTGCTTTAATAAACTTATTCGAATATGAGCTTTTTTTTCCCACTAAGGCTTATTTTATGGGGAGATGTACGAAATTATTTACCGGGTTACAAGCAATGATAATATCGGCTGTTGACTCCTCAGCGTCATCATTTTCATTTTCTGTCTATTGAGAAAACCCATTGTAAAAGTAATGAAGAAAAAAACTCTACCGCTGTCTCATTCCTCCTTGACCCGCGGTGTGTGTGTGTGTGTGTGTGTGTGTGTGTGTGTGTGTGTGTGTGTGTGTGTGTGAAACAAGATCGCCTGTCACGGCAATTATGGTTTGTTTTTCAGTCCCTTGTAAAAGGGATTCTCAAAAGGAAAAGTAGTATTCAAAGAAAAGTATTCACTAAGGGATATTTATTCATTTTTACACATACGGGGTAGGCAGCCTGTAGGTTACAAGCGGATAGAAAGTTCTTCTTTTCATCACAAGCTATGGTGTAGCCTAAAAATGCAATTTGTTGCTAGACAGATCATCTTAAAGGTTTTTTACTGCGTCTGTATTATAGGAAAATAAAATACTATTAGAAAGAAACGGTTCTCTACAGGCAATAGGAAGTCACTCTTTTTTTCCCATTACAAGCGCCGGTGCAGCTTAAGAAAGTAAAATTACATCCGCTATTGTAAAAAAAAAAAATAATACAGAGAAAATTGTCATAATATTGAAACAGAATTCAAACTATGAGTTTGTGGAAAACTAACTGCCGCTCTGTCTCTCTATACAGCACAACTGCTGCTGCATCACCCCTATGCTTCAGGAACCCTCTCTGATCTCCCCCCAGCAACCATACCCCTCCCCTCATGCTTAAGGAACATGACGCATCAGGTCTGAAAATGACTAGACACTTCCGGAGTATTTCCGGTAGGGTCGCAAGGTCTGGATCGAGGCCTTCCATAGTAAATATGCTGACTTCATTACAGTAATAGGCAAAATGAAATTCTCATCGTGCTCTTTAGATATATTGCCTCTCTCTGTCTTGTCTGGGACTCTCACCATCATTGGTCCCACATTGTTATCCATCATCAACAGTACACTGAGGCAAGGTTTTGTTCCATCCTTTAAACATGCTGAGGAAACTCCTCTTTTTTAAAATAAATAAATAAAAAAAACAAACAGAATCTAGATCCTTGCTCTACTAGTAATTATTGGGCTATTTCAAAACTGCCATTTATAAGTAAATTACTGGAAAAAGTTCAGTTCAGGTCCTCACTATGCAGATTACAGATTTTTGTCCCTTTTCAATCTGGCTTTCAAAAGCAGCACTCCACTTAGACCACTCTCTCGATGGACCCCCTAATGATCCTCTATCTAATCGCACGAGCCAAGGTGTGAAAATGGGTGTAGGTCACGAGGTTTCGGGTGAGCTCATTGTGAAACCTAGCCCCACCCTGTCATGTGATTTCCTGAGGTCAGATGGCCCAGGATGTGAGTGGGCGTTAAGGCGTCTGTGAAGGGATCTCAACACTGGATTATAGATGGCAGACAGTTGGTGTCGTAAACCACCGCCTCTGTTCAAAGATGGTCGCTCACAGTGGACATAAATGGCATCTTTTACTCTTCTTTCAAACCATCTAGCTACAGTCGACAGGGGAACAAGGTTTGTAATGTACATGATTTAATTTGAGCAATCTGAAATGCATAATATGTATTGTATAGTTTAATAGAAAACGGTTAGACTAGCATAACGAGTGGTTAAAATGGTGTTAATGGTGTTACTGATGCTGAAAAACTAGTTCATGTATTTATTACTTCCACGCTCGACTACTGCAATTCATTATTACCAGGAAGTCCAAAAAACTTCCTGAAAAGCCTTCAGTTAATTCAAAATGCTGCAGCAAGAGTACTGACAGGGACTAGAAAGAGAGAGCATATTTCTCCTGCTTTGACTTCCCTTCATTGGCTTCCTGTTAAATCAAGAGTTGGATTCAAAATCCTGCTCCTCACATACAAGGTCTTAAATAATCAGAATCAGAATACTTTATTAATCCCGAAGGAAATTAGGGTTACAGCAGGCAGCACGCTAATGGCGCATGCGCACTTACAAAGGAACCTTCTGACCAACTTTACACAAACATCACATTGGGGAGACATGTCAGAAAGGTAGGCTGATAGGAAAAAAAACAACGAAAATACAAAACATGAGGTAAGAGGAGGAGAAAAAAAACTCCACTCAGACTGAGCTCCTAGTGGGAGAACAGTTTGATAACAGAAAAAACACCTCAGCACAAAAAGCACACGACACCATAGAAACACAAGACAAGCAACAGGGGCGGGTAAAGGGTAAGAGAGAGCCGGTGTAGACGGCGCATCCGGTCCTGCAGCATGTCTGCGCTGGTCCAGTTGACTGCCATCTTCCCTGGTAGGGCACAAGCATCGAAGGCGTTTGGAAAGTAATGCACACGAGACAAGACAAGGACATAGAGGCTAAGCAGGGAAGATAAGGGTAAGGAGGAGAGGAGAAAAGTGCGACCGCCTTCGCTGAGAGCCAAAGAGGCCCCATCTTATCTCAATGACCTTGTAGTACCATATCACCCTATTAGAGCACTTCGCTCTCGCTCTGCAGGCCTACTTGTTGTTCCTAGAGTATTTAAAAGTAGAATGGGAGGGAGAGCCTTCAGTTTTCAGGCCCCTCTTCTGTTGAACCAGCTTCCAGTTTTGTTTGGGGGGACACTATCTCTACTTTTAAGATTAGGCTTAAAACTTTCCTTTTTGCTAAAGCATATAGTTAGGGCTGGACCAGGTGACCCTGAATCCTCCCTTAGCTGCAATAGATGTAGGCTGCCGGGGATTCCCATGACGCATTGAGTTTTTCCTTTCCAGTCACCTTTCTCACTCACTATGTGTTAATAGACCTCTGCATTGAATCATACCTTTTATTAATCTCTGTCTCTCTTCCACAGTATGTCGTTATCCTGTCTTCTTTCTCTCACCCCAACCGGTCGCAGCAGATGGCCCAGCCCCTCCCTGAGCCTGGTTCTGCCGGAGGGTTCTTCCTGTTAAAAGGGAGTTTTTCCTTCCCACTGTCGCCAAAATGCTTGTCATATGATTGTTGGGTTTTTCTCTGTATCTATTATTGTAGGATCTACTGTACAATATAAAGCGCCATGAGGTGACTGTTGTTGTGATTTGGCGCTATAAAAATAAAACTGAATTGAATTGAATATATGGATGGGTTGTCATTTTGGAAGTTGCTGTTTGTGTGAAAGACTAGACAATAAACTAATGTTGTTTTTTGCTCAGTCAAGTCAGAGTTATGTCTGCTGTTTTCTGCACAACACTGGGTTGTCAGACACAGATTGCATGAAGTTATCAATTTGACTCAATTGCAGGCTGATATTAGACTTAGAAATCCGAAGTTGCCTATTGTGTGAATGTGAGTATAACGGTCTGTCTCTCTGTGTTGGCCCTGACCTGTTCACCCCGCCTCTGGACTGCTGGGATAGGCTCCACCCACCAGGCAGAGTGACTACAATACCCCATCAGCCTTTTATGGCTGAGAGCTCATCAAGAATGATAAAAAAAATAATAAAATCATGCCCATATACTTCACTGTAAATTTACTATTGTTATCATTTATACACAATTTTTAATAGTCTTCACAGTCTCCTTTTACATCGACAGTCTTGCTGCCTTACGTTTTTGAGGTTGAGATACCAAAATATGAAAAAAAAAATACTATAATACAAAATGCATTGAGAAATATTTCATACTTTATACTTAAATTAGCCTTTATTACTTACGTGAGGCGGTATCAGTTTATACTGTAAATAAGCATGAGAGGGTGAACATGTTATGCTTCATATAAAGAACAACAAAATAAACAACAAAATTAACTACCACAGCTATGCAGATGACACACAAATATATATCACAATGTCACCAGGAGACCGAGGCCCTGTACAGGCTCTTGGTAAATGCATTGAGGAAATTAATGACTCGTTGTGCCACAATTTTCTCCAGCTAAACAAAAACAAAACTGAGGTAATAGTCTTTGGCGCCAAAGAAAAACGATTACAGGTCACCTGTCACAGAACTTCAATCTATACACCTAAAAACCACAGGCGAGAAATTTGGGTGTAGTGATGGATGCAGACCTAAACTTAGAAAAACACATTAAGACAATAACAAAGTCAGCTTACTATCACCTCAAGAATATTTCAAGGATAAAAGATCTGATGTCTCAACAGGACCTGGAAAAACTAGTCCATGCATTCATCTTTAGTAGGCTTGATTACTGTAACAGCATCTTTACAGGTCTACCTAAAAAATCAGTCAGACAACTACAGCTCATTCAGAACTCTGCTGCTCGAGTCCTCACTAAGACCAAAAAAGTGGACCACATCAGTCCAGCTCTGAGGTCTTTACACTGGCTGCCTGTCCGTCAGAGGATAGACTTTAAAGTTCTGATGCTGGTCTATAAAGCTCTGAATGGTTTAGGACCAAAATACATCAGTGACCTCCTGACCCAGTATGAACCTTCCAGATCCCTCAGGTCATCTGGATCCGGTCTTTTATCAGTTCCCAGAGTCAGAACCAGACACGGAGAAGCTGCATTCAGCTTTTATGCTCCTTATATCTGGAACAAACTCCCAGAAAGCCTCAGATCAGCTGAAACACTCAGTTTATTTAAATCCAGGTTGAAGACTCACCTATTCTCAGCTGCATTTGAATAAAGCACCAAATCCACACTTTTAAGCTTAAATTTCAAAACTTACATTTAACTACTGATTTTATCTATTGTTCTGATTTTATCTGTTTTGATTTTATATACTGTTTTGTTTGTTTGTTAATTAGTTTGTTTGTTTGCTTGTTTTAATCAATTTTAAATCATGCTTTTTATTTGTTTTTGTTTCTAATGTCTCTGTAAAGCACTTTGAATCACCTTGTTGTTGAATTGTGCTATACAAATAAACTTGCCTTGCCTTCAACACATCTGTGAATCATTCAGAAAAATGGAAGAAAATGTTGATGAAAGACTGATATTTATTCTGGTTCTTTAAAAAAAGATGATTTTCCTTTAAAAAAAAGAAAAGAAAACAAACAAAAATAACAACAACAAAAAAACAATGCCCCTAAGAGTAAGAGTAATGGGGGTTACAGCCAATTCAGGGACTTATATCAAAGACTTTAAGCATTGAAAATGTATTCACAGAATTAAAATAACATCTGGTTATAATATTATGAGTAAGGGTGTACAACTGTTTTTAATTTTTATTACTTATATTTTAAAAACTGAACTTGAACAAAAATGACTGGACATGGCATTTCAGGATATTGCATTGCATTAAAAACCCAAACAAAAGTATAATTGATTTCTAAGGTAAATTGGGGATTCAGATTGTAAGACACGCTTTTAGAAATAATGTGATAATATATTTTCATACAAAATACACTCAGTTCTTTTGTGGGGACTCAAATGGCACAGGATACTTGGAAAGACCTGCAACAACAACAATGGCTGTTAGGTGTGACAGAGGTGCACCTTAGACAAACTCAAATTCTGTCAACAGCACACTATGTTGTCAAAATATCACAACAGAGTCCACTGATACTACTACCAAAACTATGTTCATATAATAATATTCTTTGTGAAGAATAAACATAGATGACAGGTCAGAAAGATTGTAGGGAACAAGAAAGCAACAATTAAAAGAGCATGACAAGAAGTGTGAATGTGTACTTGGAAAAAAACCCCAGAAACTTTAAGTTTTACAAATAAATTTATGACTAGTTGTGTTTTTCATACACAAATCCATCTTATCCTAATTCAGATATTGTTTTTAAGAAAACGCACCCTCTGCTGTGGCTCTAATGTATGAAAACCTGTCAAAAACACATATTTGTGTGTGAAAGGTTGAGATGAAAAACTATTATCTCATAATAAAAATCTTAAATCAATGGTCTGGATGACTTGTTACCTTTAAATATTTGTAGGTAAATACAATTACAGTTTTAATTGTAATTTTAGATAAAATACATTGATGTTCCTTTTAATTACAGGGGAATTACGCGTTAGTTGTGGGCTGTATTATAAAGTGTTGCCATGTTTTTACCTTCTGTGATAAGTAGACTGATTTTACATGTACTGAAATGTACTATATAATTGTCATTGTCATCTGAATGAACCATAACTAAACTCATGAAATAAAAGCATTAAAGTAGATCAAAACATATATGTAGAGTGATGTGAATCTCTTTCAGTTTTTCCTCCAACTTCTCTGCTAGCCTCAAGATTTAAAACATTAAAAGAGACAAATGTCTTACAGAAATAAAAATCCAGAATCACTTATGACATTCACAAAATCAAAGTCAAATGTCACCAAAGACCAAATAAAAACAACTGAAAAGGATTGAGACCAAATCGGATGTTTTCTTTGTTTTAAACAGCACTTCCTCTGGTAAGACCTGTTTGTGTCCAGGCTTCTGCAGTTACTACCTGGTCAGCAACTCTGAAACATTAAAAAAAGAGAGCAAAGGTTTGACAATAAACAATAACCAATGAACATAATATAATTTCTACATTTTAAAAATCGTAATATTGCTTGTAAAACTCCTCACACTAAAGAATACCAATGGCTATAATTAGTTTAAATGTTGAATTGCAGATTCCCCTAAAATGGACTCATTGCAGCCTCTGAGCTGATCATCATACTTTGGCTTAAAATAATTGTTAACATTGTTAAGAGCAAAAATTCTTTATTTTTTGTAAAATTTTTAATATTTAATGTAATACCATTGATAACATATTAGGAGTTACCCAGTAAGGGACACTTCATCATCTGGAGTGCCTGGAAGTTCATCATAACGTTTCTTCACCATATCAAGCTCTGTTGAAACATCTGAAAAACAAATTTGAATTTTTATGAATCAGTAATTTATAAGTTAATTTGAAAAACAGATAAATAGTTACACAGACGAAGTTATCAGGTGCAAGATTGCAAAGATAAAGAGAAAAGGACGGAAGCATTATCAAGCACTTGGAACCGATGTAATTACAGCAAACTGTCCTGTTTACCTGGGAGTGAGCTCCCATCAGTCTTGAATGAAAGTTCAAAGGATTCCTTCATAGTAGTCTCCAGAATCTCAAGGATGTCTCTCTAATTTAAAAAAAAAATGTATTCACTTATCACAGATCAAATATTGTATTAAAGTCATATTAAATTACATTTAGAAATTTCTCAGACTTCATTTAAAACATAAATGGAAACATAAATTTTTGTATAAGTCTATTCCAGTTAAACACAGAAAAAGCCTTCAGGTGAGCTATAACAAAATACGGTCATAATATTCCTTCATAAAACAGGACAAACCCTTAAACTGCGTAACTTCTCCAACATGGTATTTTTTGCCTGCTCAAACATGTCCTTTTTTGAGTGCACATGGTTCTTAATAGTCTCCCTCATGTTGTACAGCGTGTCTTTTCCACTAAATTCTGCAGCCTCTACAATAAGACAGAAAACTCCAATCAGATTTCTCTTGCTCAATAATGATAAATATAAATATGTGTTTTAGTGCCAAGTTGTGAATAATATTATCTCTTACTCTTGTAGCCTTCTTCCATAATGTTCTCAATTGTCTCTGTCAGACTGCTGTAGACTTTTTTCTTCTGTTCCCGGATCATTCTGTTCAGTTTTGCCTTAATTTTTTCTTCCTTAGACACAAAACATGAAATACAGATGAACGTCGTTTTAAATTACATCAAGCTATAAAACTAATTTTTCATTTTTTCCTTTTACTGTACTTTACTGTTTGAATTGATGTATAGGAAAGTTTCATCTCTTACCTCTGTCTTGAGAAATCTAAGCTGCAGTTCAGTATTTTTGTACTTTTCAATCAGAGAATCAGTGTTAAGAGAAAAACTCTTGATGACTCCGTTGAATGCTCCACATTCTGAGTCATTTCTAAAACATGTAAACATTGTGGTTATTAATGGCAGAGTTGGCAAGTTTATATTTGAAAATTGTGATATGTTATAAATTACATATCTTGAATAATATTATGTGACTGTTTAGAACTTGTCTTTTCTTACGGGAAGGTCTTTCTGAACTCTTCATCAATGCTGTCAGTCAGGCATGAAGCCAACATCATGTTAAGGTTAATTAGGGTCTTGTTCTTTGGTTTGTGGACGCCACCATTCTCAACGACACACTTCAGTACCCTGTGAAAAGCACCACCCTTCTTTCCCTAAAACAAAAAAGAAAACGGAATTATTTAAATACATACTCCTGTAAAACCTGTTGTTTTGTTACACCTAGATTTAAAATACATACGTGATACAAGAAGTTCTTGAGTTTTTCTCCGTATGAACGTTTGGATTTCTCAACGCCATCATTAAGACATTTTTCAAAGGCTGTAATGGTCTCTTCCATTTCTTTGTTGATATTTGCTAGTTGAAGGATCATGTGTCTCTCAAGTTCTGAACACACCTCACCTTTTTTATCATCCTGAAAAATATTTGAAGGAATAAAACTATAAAAAAAAAAATACTTATTATTTCTTATAGATCTATAAACTCCACTTGGCTTTAAGTCACTCTACTATAAGTAAAACAGAACGGCAAAAATACAATCAATTGATCACTTAATAACCTATAAATTAATACATAAAAAAACACAATAAGAAACACAAAGACATTTGATAAATCCCAACATGTAAGAGAATGTTGTTGTGTATCTTTTACTTGAACTTACCACTCCTCTGGAGTTGGCTCCTTGAATCAAAGCAAGAATCCCATAAGCTCCACTCACATAGTTTACTATCTCAGAGTGACAGTCATTGAGCTCTTGCAAAAATCCCTGAAGTTTGGGTATTTCTGTTAAGAAGAAATTTCAGTGCCACAGTTTGACATTACGTACTATAATTCAAATTAAATAATTCTTCTTTCAGTCAGAGCAAACTAAAACAACATGTGCATCAAGACTTCACCTACCAGTCTCTTCTGGACTTAGATGCTTCCCTTTTAGGAACTCTCTGGAGCTCACTGTGAACACTTTGAAACTGCCGTCAGTGAAGTGTTTCTGCGGAAAAATGATTTAATTTTAAAGCATCCTTGCAACTGTGGAGAGTCTGTATTATTTTCTGTCAGCCTATAAAACTCACATTAATCTTGCTTCGCTTGTTGAATTCTTTCCTTACTCCATCCTTGGCTTGCAGGTTTCTCATTACTATTCGATCATGGATATGAGCTCGTGAACTACAAGAAATGAGCATATCTGTACTGTTACCGTCATCACTATTATCATCACCATCATTAATTTGGGGCAGGCTGGGCGGTTTTGATTTATTCTTGGCCTTTAGGTGAAAATGTGGGAACCAAGCAGAGCTTTGCCTGACTTTTGCACACCTGTAACTCTTTGTTAACACATAGATTGTATTTAAAGACTGGCTGTGGCAATGTTTCTCTGCCTGATGGTGCTGGTACTCCAGTTTGTTGCCTTCTATTTTTAAATGTCTGGTCTGGTTAATATCCTCTCATACTCCTACTTGCTAACAAAATACTTACCTGTTCACTACAGTCTCCGTCTTTTTTCCTTCCAGCCAGTCATTGAGTACTCTCTCCCAAACCACCACCTTAGGGTGGTGCTCTCCACTAATTCACCAGTTCATTGTATACATTTGTTTCATTGGAAATAAACCTATTGAGCTTCAGTTGTCTGCTTTGTGGGTCCAGTCATTTATGATTATATGGCTTTATTTGCTTAATGTATTTATTTTGACTGTTTAAAAAACAAACTCGCAAATATGGGAGTTTGCATGGAAAATGTACTTACAGATCATCAGAATCATCAAGAAGATCCGACTTGGTGCAAATAAAGTGAATTTGCTGACATTCGCCACCATTTCCAATCAGACTACTGACACTTTCCAGGATCTCCCAGGCCTCTTTCTCACATGCTGCTCGATTAATGTCAGTCACAATCCACACAGTAGAACAATCTCCAACTATCTGAAAGGAGAATAACATGTCTCAGTGCTTCATTGAAAGATGACTGTTTACAGACAACACAGTATAAGCAAAGAGCAGTAAATGTGAATTACCCCTTTCCACATCTGATCTCTGCTCTTGTTACAGTCGCCATTTCCAGGAAGGTCCACAAGTGTGACATGCTGGAGAAGAGACTTGTTTGGCACCCTGACAGTCACACACTTCACTAGTGGCCAAAACCACTTTTTTCCTTCATTGCCTTCTCCTTGTTTTGAATCACTTCGTGTGTACTTGACACATTTTGCAGAAAGTTCATTAGCCTGCAATAAATAATAAAAGCAGTGCAGTTTAATTTTAATCCTACAGTTTAAGTGCTTTACAAAAACCATTAAAAAGTCTGTGACATAAAAAAAAAAAACAACTTAAAGAAATTGGATCACTAAAAAAAAAATATATATATATATATTTTTAAAATTATTTTATTTTTTGCTTTTATATTAAACACAGCATGCTTATACAGATTCAACTGAGGACAATTACTACATTTAGCATTTGTGAACTTATAAGGAAAAAAGAAAAAGGAGAAAAAAGAGGAAGAAAAAATTATAACAACATTAACTAAATAAAGAGTAAAATAAAATAAGAAAATTCGCACAGCGTGTGAGGCATGAATTATGATCAGTTAATTAAGAATTCTAGAAATGGCTACCAAATCGTACAAAAACTCGCCAGTTTCCCCTTTCTATCAAATATTATCTGTTCCACCCTGGCCACAGACACCATCTCATTAAACCACCTTTTAAAACACGGGGCCGAAGAAGACCGCCACTGTAAAAGAATAAGTTTCTTTGCAGCCAGCATACCCATTGTAATTATCTGTTTTTGTGAAAAGGAAAAACAGATTCGATTGATGCAAATGATCCAATTATAGCCAGTGTACCACAAGTGGTACTTTTTTCCTAAATTGGTTTGAAAACCACGTAAAAATCTGGCTCCAAAAAGCTTTAAAGACAGGGCAATGCCAAAATAGATGTGCAAGGGAACCTTCGTCAATTTTCGATTTAAATGATCAGATTGTGTCATGTACAAGCTTCCCCTTGCGTTATATTGGATCAAGACTGAGGAGAAATTCAGGTCATGTGAAACCCTTTTTAAAACAATCAACCATTTGATAGTTTTGAGTAAGTCTCTAATTATCATTCGACAGACAGAAATAAAGAAAGAAAAAAACTGTTTTTGGTGTTTTGTGTTTTTTGGACTTTTGGATCTATGCTGCATTTTGTTTTCAGAAGTGAGATGTGTTTCCAATTCGTAATCTTTTGTTAATTTGGTCAGTTCCCTTTTGTGTCCAAGATGTCCTAGTTTCACCTGTGTCCCCTTCCCAGCATCCCCAGTGTGTAGACTATCATGGCTGTCTGTTATAGTAGCAATATGAGTTTGTCTTACTGATTCACATCTCAAAATCTTTCGCCTGGATTGGAGAAATTCTGGGATTTCTTTGAAATATTTGTTCTCCATGAGGTTTTCAGAGGACTTTTCTTTCCATTCTTCTCCATAAAGTGCTGTCAGCTTTTCAACAGCATCACGATAATCATCGTCTTTCTTGTCCTGATCTTCATTATTGTCAAGAAACTGACAAAATGACCACAACTCATCTTTCCACTCCTACAAAAATAGATGACAAGCCATTTATTGGAGGCATGTACCCAGCCTTAAGCTCCAAGAACTGCACTATAACAAATGATTTAGTTTTAAGTACAAATCAAACTTTGAGAATTCATTTTACCTCCTTTGTGATGAACTCAATTTCTGCTTCATACTTTGTGCTACGTGTGTTAGCTTCCAGTTTGATCATGACTGAGGTGCAGGCATTGATGCTTCCTGAGGGTAAAAGATTCTTCTCTTCAATGATGGCATTTATCAAAGAGCTCTTTCCAGCCCCAGTTTTACCAAAGACACCAACCAGCTCCCTCTTGTCTGTCTCCAAATCACTGATCTTTTTCCTGTTGAACAAGATTTTAAAGATGGGTTAATTGATTCAGTCATGAAAACATTTTTAAGCATGCTTCAAAAGGTTTAAAAGAGAGTTTTGTTATTTTTAATAGTAATCACTACTAGGTATTTCAGTTTTATAGACTCGCTCCACTAATTGTTTACTGTATGTTGTTTTGATCTACACCTTTTTTGTGTCAGCTAAAGTGAAAATGTTTCCTTCAAGAGTTGGTAGATACCGGGAACAGGAAAAAAAATGTAGCTAAGTCACCAAAACTTCCTAAAAATATCAGTCTTTGTTGGTCTTAACTTGGAAAGTTTTAGTTTACTACCGAATCATTCCGTCATCTATAATTGTGCGGCTGTAAGTCAAAAGTATGATGTAAAAATAACTAAACAAAGTCAAAGGAGCTTGCAAAGAAAAGCGTCTGGACTTCTTTAAGTTGCTTGAAGACGTTTCACCTCTCATCCGAGAAGCTTCTCCACTTCTCGGATGAGAGGTGAAACGTCTTCAAGCAACTTAAAGAAGTCCAGACGCTTTTCTTTGCAAGCTCCTTTGACTACGATGACCTGGATGACTGAGAACCTTCACAGACAACTAAACAAAGAACCAACACGTCAAACAGACTGACACAAGAAACTAATTGGTGACTATTGAACCAAAAGGGTTCATGTTCAGGCAGCACGATGGCATGATGACACTGTTGTCTCACACCACCATCTGGTTGGGGGCATTTTTGTTTTGAGTTTACGTGTTCTCTCTGTGTTTGCCTCGGTTCTCTCCAGGTACTCTGGCTTTCTCCAACAGTCCAAAGACGTGCAGTTAGTGCATTTAGGTTAATTCATCTCCGTGTGACTAAATTACACATAACTAGCAGCTTCTGAGGATGTTTTACAGATATTTTCTGCATTTTTGCTTTCTTTAAAAACAAACTCTGTGATTTGTTAGTGAAACTGTCACGCAATCAGGAGTGGAACCAGGCCCATACATTACAAAATATGAAAAAAATTAATACTCACTTCAAGAAAGCACTGAGTTTGTCTTGGTCATTTAGTCTGGCATGTACAAATGTCATGATGCTTTTCACATCAGACAGTATGATTGATTCTGTGGACAAAAAAGTAAAAAACTATTTAGAAGGAATTATAGACTAGAATAACCAGAAAATGTAAAATCTCATGTTAAAAAAACAAACGTGTGTGAATTAGAGTATATCAGGATCATAATATGACCACTTACCAATCATACTTAGTATACCATGCATCATGTGACTGTTACATTTTGACAACAGGCCAAAGAAAAAGTAATTTCTAGCATCAAAGATGAAACTGGCATGTTGGGAAAATTGTGCTGCACAGAGGTTTAACCCTATAGTGGCTTAAACTGTGACACTGTTTAGTAAGAAACATAAATACCTTCAAATCCTGGCATAGACTGACACTGTCGCTTAGCTGGTGACTGCAACCTGCTGGCATCACTTTGAAGGTCTGATTTTCTCTTTCCTGATTGGATAAAAACAACAAAAAATAATAAGAAAAGAAAAACGTCTTTCTCTCAGTAAATCTATTCTTAGTAAAGTTATGTAGATTGCAAAAAATATTGGTGCCTTTAAAACACAGAATAATATGAGATGCAATAAATACGATGCATGTGTCTCACCTGTATCACTTGTGGATGGCAAGACCTGAGGATGAATATGAGTTATACAGGAAATTATTACTATTTGCATTGGCATTGCTCTTTAACAGCATTTAAAGGACACTAATGTACAAGTTCTCCATGTTTTCAACTAGCAGACTGATGAAGAGTACATTACGCCCTCCCATTACCCTCTTCTTATGCTATGAGACAATTCTTTTACATAATTAAGTTTTGGTGGCAGATTTCTGTTCTCGTGTATTAATCACATGTTTAATCATATCACATTAGTAATAGTAATATCACTTTAGTATAGCAAGAGCACTCCTGTCACTTAGTTGTATGCATGTGCACTAGAAATGAGCCCTGTGCTCTACACACACACACTGACACAGTGGGGCCATTGTTAGTTCATGGGAGACGTTAAACAGATAGTGAGACTCCCTCTCCTTTTCAGGGATGTAAATCTTTAGGTGACGGTTAAGCAGAAAGCAAGGTTATAATTCTCTCTGAGAGGGAGAGGGTTTTAAGCATGAGGCTGATGGTATAGCCTCCCCGTGAGAGGGGCCAACATGTAAGAGTTTGTGGAGTGTCTTTGTCTGTCTCTGGGTATATAAGATGTAAGGGCGGTGGCCACGATTCAGAGATGATCCTAGTGGTTTGGCTGGGATGCTTCTATCCACATTGCAATGTGTTTATTACACCCTTTTCAAAACGCTCAATGGGTGTGTTGCAGGTTATTGTCAAAATTTCTACAACAAAGTCCCAGTCATGAAGACCTACAGAGACGGTTAGCGAACCCCTAGCTAGGGCAAAATGTATATTTCCCAACCCAACCTATGAATTAGGTTTTTAGATTCAGTCATTTATTGGTTTCTGTAGAGAGTGGTCAGTTTCTATAGACCAGAGGATGGAGCTTTACTTTGTCTCAGGTAGTTGGCCTAAATGTCTGAAATTCAGTATAACCCTTACCTGAACCACATCAGCTGCTTCTTCATGCTCCTGTTCACACTGCAGATAAAAGTGCAAAGCAGTGTTTAATATTAACCTCTTAAACGTGTATTAAAATTGTATTTGTCATATGGACATTTAAGAACTTTTCCCTTCACATTTACTTACTTGAACAGAATTGACTGTTTCCCGATTTGAGTTTTCTTCTTCCTACAACAGTAAAATCAGTTCAAATCTATATTAGTTAAGAATTAATAAAATTACTCTACAAATAATTACTGCCAGTGAGACGCTGTCGAACACCAGTGGGTCACTTGGTGTTCCCTCTCCATGGTAGACTATCACTTCTTGTTCCAACGCAGAGTGGTATTTTTGTGTAGCTTATCTGTGTAGCCAGTCTAATTAAAAACGTATAGATAGCGTATTTCATAGTGTTATCTTCATGCACTCTGTGTATTCACTCACTAATTATAGTCACAGTATTCACTCACTGTGCCATCAGGGATTCGCTAGCTTAGCTTGGCCTGTAGCCAACTCACTAGCAGCATGGCCCTTTCACCTGTACCTCCTGCACTTTCTTGCTCATTGTGTCAGATTACTTTTGTTACTTTTGTGCTTAATTACTCCTTAGCCTCCTTTAGCAATAATGATACTATTTGTAGACTATTTGCAGCTCTGGAGGCCAGGATCACAGAATTGGAGACTCTGCTTCGCACCCTTAAACATCCCATAGCTAGCAAGGCCCCTTTAGCCCAGCAAAGCAGTGTTTAATATTAACCTCTTACTACTGTTTCTTGATTTCTTGATTTGTGTTTATTTCTTCCTAGCACAACAAAAACATTTCAGTTTTAGTAAAGAATTAACAAAAATGACACTACATATTATTACCGCCAGTACATTTTTAATATTCTGATAATTCTAACAACAGTTCACCTCCGAACACTCAAATAAAAATGTTGTTAAAAAACGTAATTAGCTTTAACAGCTTGAGGTTCTTCTTGAATTTCACTCTTGGTCCAGCTTTTGGGATCAAATTATCAATTTCTCGATCATCAAGGACACGCAGACTTTCTGCATCGATTTGTTCATCTGTAATTAAAAATAAAGTTGCAGAGATAAAGATTATTCTCAACTTGCTTTAGAAATTCTTGTTCAATGAGTGACAAAGCAATGGGCATAGTTATATGAGCTGTTTCACAGTTAACAGATCACATCAGGATCAATATCTGTACCGATCATGGATTCACGTTAATACTTTACCTTTAAATTTCTCCACCCACTCACTTAGCCCCCATTCAGCCAGTTTGTTTCTTACGAAATCATCCATGACAAGGAAGTGAAACTGTAAGATAAACTGTGATGTTTAACCAGACAGTACTGCTTTACAGGTTAGACATTTGTGATCAACTTCTCCTTTAATGCATATATAAATCAGAGACACTGATATCAAATTCAGATTAAAAGTTCAACAGTTCACCTTTTGTTAGAAGTAACGCAGGAAAAGGCTGCTGAGGGAGATAATAATAGATTGGATTTATATAGCGCTTTTCAAAGAACCCAAGGCGCTTTTCAATGCCACTATTCATTCACTCTCGCATTCACACACTGGTGGAGGCAAGCTACGGTTGTAGCCACAGCTGCCCTGGGGCAGACTGACAGAAGCGAGGCTGCCATATCGCGCCATCGGCCCCTCTGGCCAACACTAGTAGGTAAAGTGTCTTGCCCAAGGACACAACGACCAGGAGGGAGAGCCCGGGGATCGAACCGGCGACCTTCTGGTTACAGATACGCTTCCCAACCCCCTGAGCCACGGCCGCCCCGATGTGAAGTAAGCAGTGAGACACAGACAGAAAACAGGCGGGAAGAAAGCAAAAAGTCTGAAAACAGGTTAAAAACTCAGACTGGCTCAGACTGCACAATTGCAGCTGCATCTATACATTTAATAGAAAGGTAAATCCAACATGAATAAAGCGGATGCAGGGTAAAGCAGAACTGAGAACAGAGAAGAGCAGGAAGAGGTGGTGTTTGTGCAGGCCAGATTGGAAGTGACTGAGAGAGGGGGGTAACAACCTCCCCAGACCAATATAATCCAATAGTAACGTAGTAACTCTATACTGAGTCCTTCAATTACTTGACATTGTAATCCAACACAGCACAAATAGAGAATAAATGTAGTTTGGAAAGGAAGGCACTTTTGTGCTATTTTAATCACATAATCATATGATTATGTGACAAAATAGCACAAAAGTGCTAAACTACATTTATTCTCTATTTGTGTTGTGTTGGATTACAATGTCAAGTAATTGAAGGACTCAGTATAGCGTTACTACCTTACTATTGGATTATATTGACACGACCCAAAGAAGTGCAACTTCCTGCCTGGATGTGCCAATCCTCTGCTCTCTCATTACTCTCAAGATCAGTATTAGAAATTTGCATTATCTCGGAGTAGAATAATTAGTTAAGTATATTAAGTGATTATTATTATTTAATACATCCTTTGCTTTGCTCCTGCTAAATAGCTTTAATAAAATATTCTGCATTCAAAAAGTCTAAAGTAAAGATCACAGAAAAAGTGGTTGTATGCATGGGCGTGAATGGGGCAAGTTGTCTAAAGCCCAACTTAAGATGGGCAGCAACAGTACCTCAACTGAACATAATGTCACTGGAAACAGAATAATAAAATATTTCTGACAAAATACTTATAGACGGAGTCTGAGTTTGATAGAAAAATACACACAGTTTAAAAACCAAATATAAACAGTTCGGCTAATATGACACTTTTGGTTCAATCCTTTTTTTTCCCCTTCAGTTCTAAGACCTCCACCCATTTTGTGGATGAAAGAGTTATTTTAGCCACAGAACATCTGATATGATTTTCTTGGCTGTGCGGAACAATCAGTTTCAGCTTATACTGTTTATTCTTGTGCTCTGTGTGCAGCTGGGTTTGCTAGTTCACAGACTTTATAGAGCGCATTGGATCATGACAAGAGGAATGCAATGTACACTTTATCTCTTACACCCTAAACCTCCCCACCCCCAACTTCCTGGCGCATCCCACAGCCCTGGAGAATGTACGTTCCAAAATGTTTGCATTGGACTGCAGAACAATGTTGTAGTACTCATGTTTTTAGTAGATTTTCTGTTTCACAGTCAGTAGATCACATCCGTATCAATATCTTCAAATCTCTCCAGCCACTTACTTAGGCCCAGTTTTTTTTCTCCACAAAATCATCCATAAGCAAGAAACTAAAAGATAAACTGTAATATTTCATCAGACAGTACTGCTTGACAAATTAGACTTTGTAATCAACTGGTCCTTAAATTCATTGACTCTAATTCTATATTCAGATAAACTTTTATTGAATTCAAATTAAAAGTTTAAACTACTTACCTTTGGTTTAAAGTAATGCAGAAAAAGACAGTTGACAATAAAATAAATAAATGAACAAAAAGTTTAAAAAAAAAATAAAAACAAAATGCAGGGAGGCACACACTGGAACAGGGTGAAAAAAAAAATCTAGCAAAAAGCAAAAGTCCAAAAACAAACTGGGACTCGGTTTTGCAAAAAGTGTAGTTCACTGTTTGGCAAGTGAAAGTGGATCGCTACATATAATACAACGCTAAATCTAGACAGAGTAAAGTGGGTGTGCACGGAAAAGCAGAACTCAGAAAACAAAAAACAGGATAGGGAAGACGCAGAAGTGGTGTTGATGCATGTAGAAAGCGGTTTTGTTTGGTGACAAACAAATCGAATGGATTAAAGTTTACAGATTAAAAACAAAAGACAAGAAATAAAGAACACTGTGTTATATAAGTATTTAACACAAATTAGTGATAAAATCGCACAATTATGTCCCGTTTTCTAAGCTTCATTCCGTACTAACAAACAGAGGCGTCATAAGGATGAGAAAAGTGATAACATGAGCGCTAGAAAAATAGTAACCCGTCAATTACTTTTACTTTTGAAAATATTAACATATTACAATAAAGGGATGTTTGTTTCATAAAATATTTGACCTTACCACTCCTCTCTTCTAGAATTAATGTCGTTTTGTCATTGCCAACAAATAATGAAATCTAGTCAGCGTCTGACATCGCCTCCCCTCCTTATTTCATGATTTGGTTCGGTCCAGTGCGCCAGGCTGAGAGCCAGAGCACTAACGGATCCGGTTCATAAGAGAGAGAGAGACAGATGGAAATAATAAGAAGATAACGAAGTCCATATGAAAGAAACTGCTCGAAATTCCTGGTATTTGTAATGTGTTGTATTGTGGCGGGGAAAGAAACAAAAACAAACAAAGCCAAACAAAGGAAAGCCAAACAATAATGGTTATAAAATAAAATAAAAACCCTGTATGTTAAAAAAGGAGTAAGAAGCAGCTCTGGAAGAAGCATAAGCTTTTTTAATCCCACCCCCTTTCCACCACTACTAATAATCAACACGTTTTCTTCCTATTTATCCATCAGAAATTCTTCCTTACAATTTGTTACATGTGTTTGCTTTTATAACCCTAACACGTCAAAACATATACAAATTTACAGATATATAAAGTTATATAAACATACTTGTGCGTGCGTGCGTGCGTGCACCCACACACACACACACACACACACACACATGTTTTGTTTTTTTTACTGCTTGTTAGACTGAGTCGTGCTGGGACATTGCTTCCGTTCTTCACTTCAGTCCACAATTTCACTCCACACACAGAAATGCAAAAGCTTTTTACTATTGTATGGATACTGGGGTATATTAAATTTAATCCCCCCAAATTGCATGCCCCTTCTCTTTAAGAAAACAATTTTAGAATTTTTTTTATTTTAACAGTGGATGACTCGACCACCTGTCCCAGATTATGTCATCAGTGTCACGGTCTGCTCCGTGCCTCTGCTCCTTGGTATTCGTGTAACCCGTGCTTGCTGTCCTCTCCTTCCACAATCCTCCTGGGAAAATACCAGAGGCAAATACACCACACTGCGACAAACTCACACTCACTGACTTCTAGCTGGGAAACTGACGGGAAGTCTCACGAAACAAGCGTCGGAGAGAGCTCCACAACACACCTAAGTAGCTCCCCCGACGAGGCTTGATCAGCTGCAGGTGTGCGTAATGAGCTCCCTCAGGTGTGGCCAGCATCCAGTCTGAACACACCTGCCGGGCCTGATGATGCCTGTAGACCGGTGCTCTGTACACACACACACACACACACGCACACACACACGCACGCACACACAAACCAGGAAAACGAGCGACAGCAGCACCAAAAATACACATGTCCATAACTTATTTAATAACCTTGGGTCCCTCAGACCCAGGTCCGTGACATAGGTTTAACACACGTGATGGTGGCCCAGAGTCTTTCTTCTCTGGATTGGTGAACTATGCAAAACCTGGCTCCATTAACTCATGTATGTGCCTTACCTTTTTCCCTCGCAACTATATATATTACCCTGGTAATTCTTGTCACTGTAAATAAAGGCACTAAACCTTAACCATTCTGCCATTGAGTCCACTCCGTCCAGTGTTCTTGACATCTCTCGGCATTTAAAGTTTATCTCAATTAATTATTTAGATGTTGCAAAAATATTGCTGCCTTTAAAACACAGATTAATATGAGGTTAAAAAAATAAGATGCGTGTCTCAGCTGGATCCATGTGAATAGCAAAAGCAGAGGATGAAATTCAGTTATACAGGAACTTGTCACTGTTTGCATTGGCATTGTTCTATAACAAAATTTAAAGGACACTAAAATACAAGTTTTATAATCAACAAACTTAAATGCAGTCATGTTTTCAACCAGCAGACTGATGAAGAATAGATTATAACTCCATTGTTTTTAGTAAACACCTGTGATCCTATGAGACAAATCTTTTGCATAATTATGTCCCAGTCACACAGACTTGATTGATGGTTAGCGAAGGGCATATTCCCCAACCCCCTATGAATTAAGTTTTTAGATTCAGTCATTTATTGGTTTCTGGAAGGTTGCCAGGGGGCTCACTGACAGTCTGTATAAGCAACAGACTGGACCTCTACTTTGTCTCAGGCAGGCTTATTATACTGCAGTATAATCCTTACCTGAACAAATCAGTTGCTTCTTCATACTCCTGTTTACACTGCAGATAAAAAGTGCAAAGCTGTGTACAATACTGAGCAGACTTTAAGATGTATTCAAAATGTAAAATAAATAAATTAAAAAAATAATGTAATTTGTTGTATAGATACTTTTGTAGATACTGAATCAGAAAGAAAAACTTTTTTTTAACTTACTTGAAAAGACATGTTGACTGTTACCTGATTTGTGTTTTGTGGTAAAATGAAATCGCAAAACCATATTAAATTTTTCAAAATTACACTACAAATTATTTCAATGTTACAGTTTTGTAATATACAGGTAATTCTAACAAAAATCAGCAGTTAGTTACTTTTCACAGCTTGAGTTTCTTCTTGAATTTCACTCTTGGTCCAGCTTTTTTGATCAAATTTTCAATCTCTCGATCATCAAGACAATACAGACTTTCCTTGTCAATTTGTTCAGCTGTAATTAAAGATTCAGTTGCGAAATGAAGAATTGCTCTTAACTAC